CCCCCAGAGGTGGGGGAGCTCGGGGGGCGCCTGGCAGCCGGCGAGCGGCGCCGCGTTGCCCTGGCCCGGGCTCTGCTCCGGCGTCCGGCCGTCCTCATCCTCGACGAGGCACTGGATGATGGAGACGAGGGGGCGGTGAGCGGGCGGCCATGGGGAGGGGTTGGTCGGGCTGGGGGTGAAAATGGGGGTGTGGTAGTGGGAGAGTGGAAGGGTTGGGATGGGATGGATGGGATGGGATGGGATAGGAGGGGTGGGAATTAGGGATAACGGGGTGGGTGACGAAGGCAGGGGTTGGGATGGGGTGGTGTGGGTCAACAAGGTGGAGAAATCGGACAGGATGGGAAATGGTGAGGAGGGGATGGAGACCAGGGGTGGAGGATGGCAGGAAAGGGGAACGAAGGGACGAAGACAAAGAGAGGTGGCAGGGTGGGGTGGGAATGGAGGGGATAGGAATGCTGGGATGGGATGGGATGGAGAATGGGATGGGATGGAGAATGGGGAGGTGGGGGACCGTAAGAACAGGATGATGGGGTTGGGGTGGGATTGCTTGGTTGGGATCGGCTGGGACGGGATGGGATGAAGTTTCTCTGGCCCCAGGCACAGCGCTGGGTGCGCACCGGGCTGGCCCAGACCGTGCTGGTCGTGTCGCACCGGCCGAGGGTGCTGGACGCCGCCGATCGCCTCGTGGTGCTGGAGCACGGAGCCGTGGTGGAGACTGGAACTCCAGCCCAGCTACGGCAACGCTGCGGGGCTTACAGCCGCCTGCTGCTGGGTGGGGGCAGCGCTGACACCCCCAGGGTGGGCAGCGAGGAGGAGGCTGCATCTGGCAGGGAATGAAGGGGAATTAACCCCAGTGTCCCCAGCCGGCGTCCTGTGAATCCCTTATCCCCGCGTCCTCTGGATCCCGAGTCCCTGTGTCCCCACGTCGGGGTGGGAAATGAATCCCAAGGGATGGATGTGGGTGTGGGTGTGATATCCTCACCACACTCCCGGTGTCCCCAGTCCTTCCCCAATGTCCCCAGTCCTTCCCCAGTGTCCCCATCCCAGTTCCCTACGTCCCCTTTTCTATTACTGGTTCCCAGAGGGGCACTGCTGGGCAGTGGGATTTATTGGTATTTTCATAGCAGAATTAAAATTATTGAATTTGTATTTAATTGTTTGGAATATTGGTAATTCTCGTGTTTAAAACACGGGGGAAACAGGAGGTCAGGCAGTGGGGGAGGGCTGCTGCGTGATGGGTGGGAGCAGAAATTTCCTGCAATCTGCCAGAAATTTGTGATTTCCTGCAGGGGACAGGGAAGGGGTTGGACCTGGCACCATGGATCACTCAGGTGCTGATTCCTGCTGGGATGAGAGTTGGTGTCACCCTGTCTCTGTCACCCAATCCTGCTCTGGAATCCCCCCCAATCCTGCTCTGGAATCCCCCCCCAGTCCTGCTCTGGAATCCCCCCCAGTCCTGCTCTGGAATCCCCCCCCAGTCCTGCTCTGGAATCCCCCCCAGTCCTGCTCTGGAATCCCCCCCCAGTCCTGCTCTGGAATCCCCCCCCAATCC